TATTTGACGATATATATATATATATATATATATATATATATTTTTTTTTTTTTTTTTGAATGAAAGTGTACCTGCTGACACCCGACCCCCCTCCCAGCCCATCCACTCTCTCAACACCCCCCGAAAGGCCACGCACGGAGGGCCCAAAGTCCATACATACGGGCCGTACGGGCGCCGGGGGGCCCGTATGTACGCACGGGCTGTATTCGTACGACCGTATACACTATGAATAAGGATGTGTTTGCAGGAAATCATGATTTCAACATTTAGCATTAAACACGTTCAAATTCAGATGTTTAATGAACTTTAATCCAATCCTCTTTCCTTGTGGGACCCCGCCCCCAGCTGCCCCCCAGTTTCCCCTCCGCTCCCCTCTCTTGCTATGAAACACGCGTCCGCGGGGTCGAGCTCGGAGGGCGGCCATATATACGGCCGTGTCCGTGGCTCACCTCGTCCGCTCTGCGGACGTGAATTTACCGTATTTTTTCTGAATTAAATAATGGGTTCAAAAAAAAGAAAAAAAGAAGGGGTTGCAGGGATTTTTAATCCCTACAACCCCATTGTTTTTTTTTTGGAAACGGATAATATTTAAGAATTATAAAAAATAAAAAACAAAAAAGGTGGAGAAGAGAAATTGAAAGCTAAATTTAAAAAGAAGTTTTTTTGGGGAGGGGGGATTTTTGGTTGGCAGTTTATTGTATTCTTCGTTTTTACCTTTTTTTTTTTTTTTTTTTTTTTTGTCCTAAGGAAACAATCAAGGTAGCGTTTTTACGTTTTTTGGGAGGAGGGATTTTTGGTTGGCAGTTCTTACAGTGAGCCGTTTTTTAACCTGAGGAGATGTTTGGACAGGGCAGGTAGCGTTTTCGATTGCCTACGGCCTGTTCTCGATTCGTCTTTCCTAATTTGGATACGACATGTGGGTTACCTACTGTGAGCCTTGTTTGGCGCAGGTTCTGGACCTGAGCCCTTGGCTTCGGATGAGAGCATGCCGAGGTGAAGCACTTTGGATACCATTTTGCTGCGGGTCTGCTCGATGAAGACCCACCAGGCATTAGGACCAAAGCAGAACCGGGTTCCGGTTTCCTTTGGTGCTTTCGGAGTACCTGACCAGGACCCCCTTTGCAGACTGTGTATGCCCTGGCTGTTTGTCGTTTTTTGTTTTTTGTTTGATTTGCTCGAGTCGTCCGTGACGCACGGGTTTTGAAACTTTGTTGCTATTGATAGTCTACACGGTACTAGGAACATTCGAGGACCTACATAAGCAATGATTGCATAGCTGTTGTCCCTTTTGGGTCCGACGACGTGAAACCCTCTGTTGTTCCCGGAGATGACAGCGGGTTAGCGACGGAGGTGGGAACGTAGGAAAGTTGGGATGTTGACGAGGGTGAAGATTGGCGGTTTCCCCCTGAAGATAACCGTGTAGCGACGGTCAAAACCGGTCGGGGTGCCATACCCACCATCTACGAGCAATCTTGTTTACGATCTTGTTTACAATGTATGTACTTTTGTAATGTGACTCGACGTGTGCATGAGTTACGACTTGTGTATCTCGTGTGCACGAGTACTTTTCACACACTCTATCCGATCACCTGCAGAAAGCCCATGTGAACCCGCTTGGAGATGATGGCTGAGCGAGCGTGAGCATAAAGATGATTGTCCTGATCCTTGTTCTTGAACTGTTGGTTTGGTGAACTATCGACGATTACCGGGAGGTGTGGGAGTATAACCGAGGAAGTATGCCGGGTTTAGAGTGTTCATAGCCTCGGAGTAATGATTAACGAAGGAGGGGGTTGCGAGTTTTAGTGTTTGTTGAAGGTTGAACAGTTGGTCGGTGCAGCTATTCGGAATCCTGCACAGCCGGGACTTCGTGGTCACAAGGAGCAATGTCGGGAGGAGGCTACCGTGATTACGGTCGTGACGGTGAGCGCGACAGGTATGCTGGCGGGGGACGCAGYGGGAGCTATGATCGCGGYCGGGAGCACTCCCGGGATCAACGCGCTGATTGRCACCAAGAACCACGAAGATCGTTATCACAAGACAGGGAACCTTACGCGAGGGAACCCCWGCGTCGAGCCCCRCSAGTGTGTTTTGAATGTGGACAACCGGGACACTATCGCAACTAGTGTCCCCGGCTAGTTGGGGAAGGCAGTTCACGCTATGGCGACCATCGATGGGGGCGATCGACTTCGGCTACCCTGAACCGGGCAAGTGAGAAGCGATCGTCATCGGAAGAGCCAACCATGAGGAAGCAGATTGAAGAACTCACTACCTCACTTGCGGCCATGCAGGAGCAGGTGGCGGCTGAGAACGCTCGGCGTGAAGAGAGGGAGAAACGTAAGAAGGAAAAAGTCGGGAAGAAAAGGAGGGAGGAGGAGGAGAATCAGAAAATTGAGGAAGAAAAATGTGAAGCGGAGCGTAGGAAGAAGAAGAAGGAGATGAAGATTCAGAAGGAAGATGAGGACAAGGAGAAGATGAGGAAAGAGATGATGATGCATATGTCGTTGCATGTTGAAGGTCTGGAAGAGAGACTGCAACACAGGCTGGCGAACGTGTTGAAGAACGCGAAGAAGAAGGGGAAAGCGAAAGTACAAGAGTCCGAGGATTCAAATGATTCGTGCGCGTCTTATGATTCCGACGAAAGTGAGGTGGAGGCTCTGAGCAATAAGACTGAAGAGTTGACGATAAACGAGAAGCGAAAACGAAGCGAGGAGAAGCAGATTGGCGATAGCCCGCCTATGGAGACTCCGAAGAAACGGCATGCTAAGCAAGAACCAGCGCGAATGTCGGAGAGACTCCAGCTGAGTTGCCGGCACCCACCCATGAAGATCTCACCGAAACGAAAGACGCCACGACGCGGAACACGTGCGGGACGAAAGATTCCAACAACGATTGGATCTATTGAAAAACTCAAGTACGTGACCGAGAACGTACGGGACCTGGCTGACCTCACAGTGGACGAATTGAAACAGATCTGCAAGACCGAGGACGTGCAATGGGAAGGAAAGAAGATGCAAAGTATCCTAGCTATTGCCGATAAACGAACGCAAGTGGCATATGGATCGCATGACGAAGAGGACGTAGAGTATATCGCGGATGACACAGGCACTAAGGAAATTGCCGAGGCAAGCCGAGATGCGGAAGAGGAAGCGTGATGGAACTCCGAACTGGGATGTCCAGGAGTTATGGGCAATATGCCGCTGTCTAATTGACTAGAGGAAGGAAGGGTAAGGTGATGCACATACTAACAGCCTATACCGACTGGTCGTGATTTTGCTAGCATTGGTTAATGAGATCCGTTGGTTACGGAAGTGTGTCGACTCGTGGGTTAGTTTGTATGCATAATACGGGATAGATGTTTCTTTGGATGCATCTTGTTGCATCTACGCTTTGTCTTCACCAATCTGTCGTGCGCAGTATATCGGATAGACTGGCCGTACCGCTATTACTAGATGGAAGGAACATCTGTCAGTTTGTAACTGAGGTTTGAAGAACAACCACCCGTATAGATGGTGGCGCTCTTTCGGAGCGGAGTCTTACGTACTCTTACCATTAGATTGTTGTAAACCTGACAAACTAATAGACCTGGAACAATTATACATACGACGTTGGTGCCCTGTTCTCAATACTACCGGGAAGCAACCATGTGCGAGCAAGAAGAAGCGATGCACACGCCGGAAAGGGAGTGATGAGAGACGTAGGGAAGAAGAGCACCAGAAGGTCAACCAGGGTCCGAGGACATTAACTCTGGTGAGGATACGTACTGAGGATGATGAGGCATGGAGCGTTGACCTCTTCTCAACGTTCGAAAAGAAGGAGAAGGATGATAAAAGGAACTTCAAACTAACCTCGCAAGGCAGCGATAGCTGGTGTGGTGGATGGAAATCCATAAGGAAAGCGTTCGGAAATTCGATCATCGTAGTGAACGGATCTAGCAAAAAGTTGTGCGAATGTAAGCATTTTCTGGAGAAGGGTGGGACATGTGTGGTGAGTCGACTACGGAAGTGGAAGCCGAAGGTAGGTCCAGATAAGCATTTTTTGATTTCGGTATTGCGCAATCCAAGCCGTGTGAACCTGTTGAAACGTTGTAGTCTTGAGGAACTAGTCAGATTGAACGGATCGGCGAAAGAATTCCAGAGGGCATCTACGACGGCCTAATTGCGAAGGCTGATTAGCCGAACGATTAAGGAAGGGTTTGGTTGGCATGTTAATGTGAAACTGACTGTTCGTTTGAAATTCGATGATAGGGGTCAGCAATTTCAGTGAGCAGTGTGCAATCGACTTCCTCTTCGGAGGACGCTTTGAGGATATCGAAGAGCTCTTCCATGGTATACGCATCGCAACCACTCAACGTTTTTGCAAACAAGCTGAACTTCGCATCTATGTCCGTGTGTGTGTGGCCCACTATCATGAAGCCCATTTCGATGACCTCGAATATACGAAATTTGACAAGCATAGCCATGATCGCAAACACGTACTTATTTTTGTTTTGTCCCCCATAGTTGTCAGCCTGCACCCGCAACTTTGACGGGAGCGCCCCCTCGCGTGCCTAGATATCTCTCAACACTTTGGCGATCGAGGTGACCACCGCCACCTTGCTGCCTGTTCCGCTTGCTTTGCATGTTGCTCTCTGCAAGTTGGTGTGTTCACTGTGTAGTGTGGCTGTGTTGTCGGTGTTTCCTTGCGCTTCGCTGCTCCGCTGCCTTGCTGCCCACTCGCTGGCCGTGCCTTCCGTGTTTCCGCGTTGCGCGCCATGTCTTCCTTGCACTCGTTTTTGGCGTTTTGTAGTCGTTTTTGGCGTTTTGCGGTCGTGTTGCCTCTACTTTGCTGCCTGGTGCTCCACAGGGTCGCCGCCCGCTGCCGTGTTCCACTTGGAGACAGTCTGCCTTCAACATGGGTCAAAGGGTTCATGACCCAAACCATCTAATACGGAGACTCCCGCATATTGTCGAGGGTTCAGCCTCCTCATGAGTCGGTGCAATTCCGACGAAACAATTTATCATCAGCTTTTATTTTTTTCGGTTGTTTTTTGTTGTTGTTCGACTTGCTATCTTTCCCCTGCTGCTTTATGCTGTTTACCTACACATCTGTCTACCCTATGTTTTTCACCTGGTATGTCTTGTTGCCTTGAGCTGTTTGATCCATACATCGATCACAAAACCAAGGGTCATGCCGCGTCGCACCTCTTCCAATTTTACATGGACAGGGACAACCCCACCATGATGTACAAGGAGTTCTGCACTTACAAAAAGTGGGAGCCAGACAATGGTCCTGTGTATTGGTTTGTAAGGGACGCATGCAAAGACTGGGCAGGGCCTCAATGGGGTTTCCAACCTTCCTGCGAGTCACCTAACCCGCTGACAAACCATTTTGTTAACGGAATGGTGGGGGTCCGTGTCCTTCATTAATCATGGGAGAATTCGCAAAACCAATGGGAGACACAAGACGAACACACGAGAGCGATGAAGCGTAGACGCTTCAGCTACTGGACTGACTATCTCAAAAAGTTTGAAAACATCTCGCAAGAGGAGAGCGGCACGGTGCCCCTTGAAGGTGCCTTCTGGCCTGCCCCCATGCCCGAAAAACAAGACCTCCCATCCCTCGCGCGAGTCGCGCCGCATGTTGTCGACTCGCCAGTGAGGAAATCTTGCTTCGTCGGTTACAAGAGAGACACTCCCAAACCGGAGTTCAAACCGCATGAGTTTGTCGCCGTGAACAACTTCGTCATGTTCCGCGATCACGACGAGTATGTTGCAAAGGGCTGCACATTTTGGATAGGGCGTGTAAAGGAGTGGGATGATAGTCGTATCCGCGTCAAGTACTGGACACCTTGTGGAAGGGATCGCGACTTATCGAAGCTGTATGCCGACGCATGGGCAAAGACGTGGAAGGTTGAAACTGAATTCGACGAAGGCTGGCAAGACCTCGACGCCGTTGTGTGGGCATGGGCCAGCAACAAACGATCCGAGACAGGTATGCGGATCCCTAAGCGAGACGCTCTCAATGCACAGTTATCGCTGACCGTTCCTGATAAGATGCCATCGTCAACGCCCGATATGAGATCTAATTCAGACACATCTGTGTAGACGTGACGAGGGAAGGAGTATGAGTGACGATCATATGTTCAATACGAACAACACAAAGTATATCGCTGATTGTTTGATTGATTTGCATTTTTCTCTTTTTTTTTGTTGTGTTTAGAATGTCTGCATCGTCGGAGTGGAAGCCTAAAGACAAGATAAACATATTGAATATCATACTAAAAAACACATATGGCATGTTCAGTCAATGATAAAAAACTCCATGGACATCTAAAAAAGTTAAAGACATTTCGTGCCACCCTAGAATTACGAACAACGTTATGTGATTCTTTTCGAAATCCATATAAACGAAAATTGACTTCTTTAGACAAATACAAAGAAAAATTGATGCGGAGTTTGGCTCATGCGACATATGATACATGTGCGCTGAAATATATGTACATAGAGGGAGACTCTATTTCTCTGACTCTCTCTCTCTCTCTCTCTCTCTCTCTCTCTCTCTCTCTTTCTCTCTCTCTCTCTCTTTCTCTTTCTCTCTCTCTCTCTCTCTCAATCTTTGACTAGGACAATGTCTATGAAAGTTGTTGCCCTATACTTCATACACTCCTCTACACTACGAATATGTGCAGTCGTACATGATCGTACAAAAGGTGGAAATTCGCTTCGACATCATTTTCAAAAAACTAAAATCCGGGACCTGATGACAGGCGAAACGATATGAGCACTCGTACGAGCGCAGAATCTACTCTATTGCCATCTCCGTCTACATGTGCTAAGCTACAACTTTTTTACAACAAAATGTCTGGAAGTGTAACAGCGGCACAAGTGAACAAGGTCGTTGCTCAGACCGTTGGTTCGGCGGAGTACACTCTTTGTACTGTTGAAGTTGGTGGATAACTTATTTTTTTTGAATTTGCGGTTGACCCCCGTTGTTTCTTCGTTCTCTACGATGACTGTTGAGATAGAAGCAGTGATGGAAGTCCTCCGAGCAACGAATTCCAACATTGCATCTCGTGCGTGAATACAATATTGTTTAACATGTTGCTTGTACGCTCGCACCATCGAGTCTCTTGCATCACTCCGTGGGATCTTCTGTCTCCATGTCTTCGTTGCACATATCGTAAGCCCTTCGTGATATTGTACAGCAACACATGCAATGACGGAGCTGCATTTCTCTGTCACCGGGGCACCCACAAGGTCGTAACCGTAAAAGACCTCCTTGTATCTTGCGTTCCCGTCGTTCTTGTAATTATTAATATTCTGACGGTCGCACATCCCCACGAGGTTGTAAATCTTTCTTGTCGCGCTTAGAGGATACAAGTGCAGTGACGGTTCGTAATATGCAAAATCTCATATGACAAGTCCGATGGCGTTACGTTGTCTCCTCTGCCGGTCTGATATCAGTTCCCCCCATTTGATTGGCGTTCCCCACCAATCTTGTCTTAGCTGTCTCTGCATCTATTCAGGGTCCATACTGCATGGACCCAAAAAAAAAAAAACGGGGAAAAAAAAAAACATAGGCATAACAAACATAGACGAAGTACGAAACTGTGATCGTGAGTTCACAAGTCATTGCGGAACGGCAGTCAAAGCGGACACCGATGCAAGACGGATTGCAAGTTGTTATGTTTGCCACTTTCACGCCGTTGAATACGATCGACAATATTAAACTTCGTTATTGTGTTAGTTTTTTTCAGTTTCTGTTTTTTTCCATCTTCATTGTGGCATGTCATTAAAGTCATCGCCACGTGAATGACGATCCTCGACCTTTCGTTGATGAAGCGCAACATTGCATCTCTGATTTCGTTGCATATATGTCTGATATACGTCAACGTTGCCCTTTGCATGATCTCTTGCTCCATCGATGATACCTTCTTTCGTTTAATCCATATCGCGCACCGTGTCAAGCCACCATTAGAACAAAATGCCACGCATGCCACAGATGCCTCACGCCCACCCTCCCCCAAGATGTGAACTATCCCCAACCTGTAAAACGCTTTGGTCCACTTGCCACTGCCTTGCCTTACGTTGTTTGCATCACTCCCTGCTGTCTTGGCGAGGTTGAAAACTTATAGGCGCTCCTCGTCGTACCACAACTCAATCGAGGGCTCCAAAACCGTCCAGTATATCGCCCGCACACCGACAACCCTCATTTGCGTTCTTGTTTTCCAT